CAGTGATACCAACTTGCTTGCTGGAAGCAAGCAGGATTTAAATATATATTAATGAAGATCAAAGACTAGTCTTCACTAAGGAATGTATATCAATGTAAAGAAAACAAAAATACTTTATTTATCATAAATAACATCATGATACATTGGGGAAATATTGAAAATTCAAAGACTTCATTTTGTCTGGGTACACAATCATTGCACATGGAAGTAGCAACCAAGAAATTATGGTATTTTCAAAATTTTCATATTAACGTGAAAGGTGGACAATGGATAGGGAAGACTTAGAAGAATGGATTCATTTTAGTTATGGTGTAGGATAATAATATTTAAAATATCACCAACTGCCAGAACAAACAATTCTGTCTTGGCTTGTTGAAGGACCACAGAAATGTAGGATTTTTCACTAATTTTGCACATTGATAACAATGATAGATCACCATATGCAGGTTGTTAACAAGATGATTTTTATAACATTTCTGGTGCATAGTGTTGCAAACTGAAAGTCCTTATATCACACGTGTGAAATGACTAAATTTATTTCAAAGATTTTATTGATTAAGGAATTAAGAAATATTATAGTGGTATGTGAAAACAAAATATAAGAGATTATAGAATGTTCATTTATGTATATTGTCCATGGAAACACACATAGATGTTAGTACAGAGTAGCATGAACAAAATTTTAGAATCATTGGGAAATTATATTTCCTTTATTATTTTTCAATGTTCTCTGTTTTCATCAATGTTAGCATATAGTATTTTTTGGCTTTATTATATTGCAATGTTTATTTCAGTATAAGTTCAAAAGTGTGAAAGACTGAAATTTTCACATTATTATCATAGCATTTTTAGCTTTGGTGCATGCTTTAATTAATTTTCCCAAAAATGATTTGTAAAACAACAGTGAAAATTCTTCATCACAAAGCACATTGTGCACTGAAAATATTGTAGCACAATCCACTGACTGGGAGTCTATTCTTATTCATAGCAACCACATCAGACAGAGTTGAATTTCCCTAGAGGGTTTCCAAGGTTGTGAATCTCTAAGTGAGCAGACTACCAAATATTTCTCCCTCAGAGTGGCTGGGGAGTTTGCAGTTGAGTGTTCTACATACTGCACCAACAGGCTTTCTTATATCATTTACTAGTACTGCATTAAAATATTTTGTATTTTATCTTTTCATATTTAAACTTTACTATAATTTTAGGGACCAAGAATGAATATGTATTGTTCTCAGTTAAGAAAATTGAGGCTTAAATTGAATTTCTAGGGTCAAGTAGTTCAAAGGATAGCTGGCCTAGAATATAAAACCTGATTGTCTAATTATAAAACAAGGACCACTATGTAATATGTCTTCTCTTTATAATAGAGTGACTAGTGGAAACTTTTCTAATTGTGCCAAAATGTAACTACTATCCAGAACAGAAACAGAAATTAATTAAAAGATTAAATTGTTTTAAGAGAGAAAGAGCAAAGATGTATGTGAGAAAGAAACAATGAGATTAAATATTTAACATCACTGTCATCTTAAGTGTCCCGTGTTCCCTCTCTTCAGCACAACTCGAATGAGAGCATTTTTCACTTCTTTGTTCCTAAGACTATAAATGAGTGGATTCAGCATGGGGATCACAATAGTATAAAAGACAGAGGCCACTTGGTCTTTCCCCAAGGTGTAGGAACTACGTGGCTTTAAATAAGTAAAAATCATGGAAGCATAGAAGATGGTGACTCCCAGGAGGTGGGCGGCACAGGTAGAGAAGGCTTTTTGCTTTCCTGATGTGGAACTGATTTTCAGAATAGCAGAGAGAATAGACACATAGGAAACAGAGACTATTATGAGAGATGCCACTAAAGTGGAGCCAGCAAGAATGAATATAATGATCTCAACATTATGTGTGTCAGTGCATGAGAGGGCTAATATTGGGGATGTGTCACAGAAAAAGTGGTGGATTACATTTGAATTACAGAAATGCAAGGTGTTCATGCCAAGTACAGTGATAATGGAGGCTATAAAGCCAAATATGTAGGATGCAGTGATGAGGGAACAGCAGACTTTAGTGGATAAAATAACTGCATATTGTAGTGGGTTGCAGATAGCTACATAGCGATCATAAGCCATCGAAGAGAGAATAAAACATTCCGTGACAGCCAAAAAGATAAAAAAGTACATTTGGCTGAAACAGCCCCCATATGAAATATGTTTGTTTGCAGTCAGCAAGTTCTCTAAAGCTTTAGGGGTAATGACTGTTGAGTAACTGAGATCAAGAAATGACAGGTGGGTGAGGAAAAAATACATGGGGGTGTGCAGCTGGAGATCCAGGCGAATGATCAGTATCATCCCTGCATTTCCCAGCACAGTAATCAGGTATATCAGGAGAAAGAGATTAAAGAGGACCAGCTGGATCTCTTCAGAGTCTGTCAATCCCACGAGGATGAAGTCAGACACGTTTGTTTTGTCTCTTCTATTCATAGTGTGCCACTTCTGTAAACTGTAGGAGATTGAAGATTTCATTTAGCACTACTCATTGCTTATTGCTATATATGAATCACCTGACATTTGAAATACATAGTTTCCTCTTTCCAGAAATTGATACTTAAGGTCAGTTTACAAAGTATGACTGAACAAAATCTAAATGTTTTTGTTATTTGTATCTATGGTTATAAGATGACAATGGATAATATACAACAAAATTAACATATATTGTTAAATTAGAATTGAAATACCAATAGTCTCAGTTCTTCCCTTTGTTAAGATCTTTAATCCCCATGAAATATCATACCGTTAGTATGATTGTTATCTACACTTGTACATAAGAAAATTGGCAGGAATTTTAAGAATCTCATCATAGTTACAGCTTGTAAATATTAGCTCAGTTTCTCTATCATGTTAGGCTTAATACAAAAAGCATGCTCATAATACTATATTTTTAATTCTCATTTATTTAATTGTAGTAAGAAAGGACATAATGTAGGTTGTTGGTTTTTTTTTAACATTTTTTAAAAATGGAATGAAGGTTACAGAGAAGACCATTCATTTTACATTCAACAAAGTTTCTTTGTTTCGTCTCAATAACTGCTATTTCCTCCATGCAACTGCAGTTAGCCCACTTCCTCCCTGTATTTCCATGTCCATTCCACTCACCTTCCTATCCCTTCCTATCTTTTTCATAAGTAAATGTTTCACCTATATAGTGTTGCATCTATATACTGCTTGGATGAAAATTGAACCACAAGAGAGGGAAGGAAGAGTAACACACTGTCTAGAGGCTGTTATTGTTGTTAAGTGCAGTCAAGTAAGTTCCAACTCATAGTGACCCTGTATCGGGTTTCCAAGAAGTGCCTGGTGAGTTTGAGGTGCCAACCTTGCTGTTCAAACCAACCTTGCAGTCCAGAACATTTATCCTCAGTCCCATACTAATATTTCTGGATGTTGTTGTTGTTGTGTGCCATCGAGTCGGTACTGACTCAAAGGGACCTTATGGACAACAGAACAAAACACTGCCCCATCCTGAGCCAACCTCACTACTGTTGCCACTCATGAGTCTATCGATGCTGCCACTTGGCCAATCCATCTCGTTGGGGGTCTTCCTCTTTTTCTCTGACTCTCCACCTTAGCAAACATGATAACCTTCTCCAAAGACTGGTCCCTCTTGACAATATGTCCAAAGTATGAGAGACAACGTTTGGCCATCTTAGCTGCACTTCTTCTAAAATGGATCTGTTGGCATTTTTGGCAGACCATGGCACTTTTAAGCTACATGTTAACTTGTGTGATGGGTAAGGCAGTATACACAAAATGATTGATTGGTGAAATAATGATGAAGAGAGATGAAGATACAATGAGGTATGCAAAAGCTAAAAGGGATAGAGGTAAATAATGATGTTTATATAGTGTTGGAGCAACAGTGTTCTGCAGATAGCTACATTGAGAAAAATATCAGTTGAACAGGGTGTGGCAGGAAGAATGTAAGTATACCCACAAATATATGAGTTTGAAAGACGATATGTGTACATGGGTATTCATCTTTTCTGCAAACACACTTATGAATATGATAGAACATACAGCAGACACTGATGAAAACATCTTTGATACTATCAAACACCCTAAGGAATTAAGTTTCTGGGTCTGAGGGCTTAAGACCATCATCTCAGGGTACACTATCATTGATTGGCATAACATTGTCCACAAAGATAGTGTTTTATATCCTTCTTGGTTACTAGTGTCTGGGATCATAAAACCTCATGAATATCCATCTAAAACGCACCTATTGGCCTTTCTCCATGTGTGGAAAATAGAAGATTGATGAAAATATAAGGTACTTGGAATCAATTTGTCCATTGGACTAATGAATCATGTGAACATCACCCTACAACTCTCAAACCAGAAAAACTAAACAGTGTTCGGCTATCACGACCAACTGCCCTAAAAGGACAGCATTAGACTGCCCTGGATAGAGTTGTTAAAAACGTACAGTAAAACTCAAAAATTTAAACGAACATAAGCCTTAGTAGTCAGAAATAGATTGGTGAAATCTGCAACTATGATTTTCCACAACCCTTTCAGTGTGAAAAAGAACTGAGCATCCAACTGTCAGCTAAGCAGTACTTAGGTATAGAAGAGGGACAGCAATACTAAAAACCCATCTTTCAATTTCAAGGGGGCAACCTTTACCTTAGGACAATGTTGAAAAGTGATAGGAGGCTGAGTGGAATGGAAATAGGAAGCACAGGGAAGAAGTGATCTAATTGTTGAAGTATAAAGGGGATTGCAGTCATTGATATGAAACAAAGTGTAAGATTTGTTGGCTATAGAACAGATGATCTTGTTTGCAGCCTCTCAGTGAATGCACATTAAAACTTACAAAACTTTTAGAAGTAGAGGGTGTTATGAAGGATAGGCAAGTATCAAAAAAAATCCTGTAATGAGAGCATATACTCTGCACAGTATTTTTATGCAATAACAAATCAGTACCATGTAATCCACATTTAGCATGCAACTATTCCATAGATTTTTATAAATCTCTTTGGTAATTTTTAACAACTCACATGTTCCAGAAGTCATTTATATAAAAAAGTGGAACCAGAATAAAGTCTAAAGATTTTAAAGTAAGGTCAACTTGAACCACAAGATTGACAGTTTAAACCCACCAGTTACTATTCTGAAACTCTATGCAGGGTCTCTATGAGTCAGAACTGACTGGAGAGGCACTTAATAGCACCAACAACTAGAGCTCTCCAAGAAGGAAAGCTTCAACTCTCTACGACTTTCCACTTCTGCTTTGTATTAAAGAGAGGAAAGGGATAAATGGAAAGAAAAGCCCAACATCTGAATACATTCCTGAGTACTTGGAGTTTTCTTTTCTTTAAGGGTTCTTTCAAAGGTTACCTCAGGCATTATCCAAATTAAAATTGTACCTTCCTAAACTATTAACTCAAAAAACATTGGTTTCTAAATCATGAAAATATAATCTTTAAGCCTATAAACTGGTATCAGAAGATGACTATAAAATAAAATACAGTAACAAGCTATGCTGGTATATTTACATATTAAGAACTTCGAGATAGACTGATCACTGAAACCACATAGTCCTTGTGTTAGTTTTCAGTCCACTGTGAACAATAGTTATAGATCACAGAACATTTATTTGAATAAGGCATTTTGTTTTCTTAACTTCACAATTAAAAATCAAATTACTGCTGAATGGTACATTTCCAAAGTATGAATATTGCTTGTATATTACTGAATCCATAAGTTATTTTTATACATATATTTTCATAAATACAGGCTTATCTATGGAGAGAAAGATAGAAATATGGCTATATATCTTTAGATATGGAGTCCTGGTGTGGCGATGTAGGTTAATGCTCCAGACTGTAAAGTCATTTGAACTGCAAACTCGGAGGTTCAAGCTCAACAACTGCTCCATGGAAACCCTATACAGGGTAGCTATGGGTTGGAACTGACTCAATGGCACTTAACAACAACAATAATCTTTAGATATCTACATCTTTATTTATCTGTTGTGTATATGGTTACTATAAGTTGAAACTGACTCACTGGCCCATAAAAACAACAACATATCTATCTTTATGTAGTATATTTGTACATGCATATACAGTCCTGATGTGGTGAGGTATTATAAGCACTGGACTCCTAAACAGAAGATTGTAAGCCAAATCCACCAGTAGCTCTTTGGAAATGCTATTCAAAGTTACTAGGATTCTGAACCAGCTCTCTCGCACTTAACAACAGAATTGTGTGTGTGTGTATTTATTTGTTGTTAAGTGTCAGAGTTAGTGCAGAATCCTAGTAACTCTGAATAGCGTTTCCAAAGAGCTACTGGTGGGTTTGACTTTCAACCTTGTGTTTAGGAGTATCCTTCCGCACCACACCCGGACACCATCTCTTTCTCTCTCATTTATAAATGTCCTGGTGTGGCCCTGTAGGAGAAACACTGATGTACTAATCAAACGGTTTGGCATTTCAAACACACCTGTCTCTCACAGAAGCACTACACAAGGTCTCTATGGCTTGGTACTGATTACATATGTTACTATGTGCTATGTAATCCATTCCAATTCATATATATATACATACATAAACTTCCCACATTTTATCTGATATGGTTCACACCAAATGAAACACGCTGCCATAGGATGACTGTGTCTCATACAGACCCTTTAGGACAGAGTAGAAGTGCTTCATAGGGTTTCTAAGGCTGTATCTTCTCCAAGGGTGCAGCTGGTGAGTTCAAACTGCTAACCATTTGGAAATTAGTTGGACGCTTACCCACTGAGCCAACGTGATCCCTTGATGCAACCTAAAATTCTCTAATTTGCATAACAATACTTACCAATAGCCAACGATTGTGAAATATTTTTCTTATTATTTTATTTGTCTAGAATTTTGTCCAGGTCAAATATTTTCTTCTAAATAAAATAAAGGAAACATTTAAGGGATGAAAATTTCTGTGACACAGTAGTGTTTCCTTTTCAGCTTCTTTAATATTACATTTTCTTGCATACATTTTTTCCTAAAAAAAATAAATCAATCTCCAAATTATATTTGGTCCTTAGTCAGATGCTAAGATTTTTGTAGAAATTATATTTCTAATTGACACTCAAGAGTTATGAATATGAGCAAAGCAGAGCATTCATGATCTCTTCAACGAATCCCAGGGTATCTCATATACTGGGGATTGAGATGATGTAACATTTGGTCATCCTGGAGGACCTATTTCCAAGGGAGATTGCTTGGCACACGTCCAAAGATAAACGTTAAAGTCTTAATAGTTCCATGTTAGGCATGTAACAGACATTTTTCTGCTCCCTTAAAGGTGACATCATTAGGGGTATGATGGCACAGAACTGGACAGTCTTGTTTTGTTGTGTATAAGTCAGAACTGATTCAACTACACCTAATGACAATAACATCTTGTAAAATCATGTTTTTGTGTTGATATGACTGAA